GTAGCTTAAGCTGATCAAGATAATAAGTTATCAGTATAGTAAAGTTTCTTTGCAGCCATTGCGAACAGAATGATAGGGGAAAGGGGAAAATGAATCTATTCCATTGAAATATAATATAAAAATTTTTCAACTTAAACTTATAAAGAATCTTTAATGTGCTGATTATCGGGAAATTGATTGAATAATAATAAATTCTACAAGTTTATTCTTATACTCATCGGTCAAGCTGGTATATCAAGTCAGTCCATCATTTAGTAACCTTTTAGTAAAGTTAAGTACAAAAAAATTTATATACATATAAGCTAAGTGTGTGTATTTATTTTGTCTGCAATAACACAATACAAGGCATTTAAAAAGAAGAAGAAGAATCACAGCTACTTCAATTATTTATATATATTTAAATATATTTTATTGACTTATTATCATTATTATTATTATTATTATTATTTACTTATATTGTAAGCTTCTTTTTGTTTCATTCTTCATTTTTATTATTTATTTAATTTACAATTCTACACTTAAACGGTATAAACTATATTCTCAAAATATCTTTACCACTACAACGAGGCAACGAAATAAATGCTTTAGTACGCGCGCACACACACGAACACACACACACACACACACACACACACACGCACACATTTAACGCAAATAAGTTTAAAACAGTTCAATAAATTCTCTTTAACCTTAATGGACTCGATGTTGTTATTGTTATCATTATTGTTGTTGTTGTTATAATTTTAACTCATCAAAAATTTTAAACACGTTGCGACATTTTGTCAATACCACTGTTGATGATCGATGATTTTTTCGTTTTGTTTTATTTGTAACATTCTATGAATATTTATTTGAATTTATACACGTTTTGATCGTTAAATCGCGTATTCGTACACAAAAGATACCCTAAGAGACGAGAAAAGCAAATACAATAAAATAAAATTACATAAAACTCATACACGCTTGTAAGCTTCGCATACCTGTAGCACCGTAGAATAAATGTATATAAAAACAGCTATATGTATATATATATATATATATATATATATGACTTTGTGTGTGTGTGTGTGTGTGTATGTGTATATATATAATTTATGTAACATTATATGTTCAGGTTTGCCGATTAACTGTTTGTACGAGAATGCATTTGCGGTTGACTAGCTATGCTATGTTGGTTTAGTTGAATGGCTGAATGTCGCACTTTATGGCCGACTATTTGATTCACTAATAACCTTGCAGAATACGATTTTGGTCTTGGACTTGACAATTTAGATATTCGTTAACTTTGTCTGTCGATTCAATGGTTTTCTTTTCAATTTTGTTTAGTTTTTTTTATCTTTTATCTCTTATGGTTTTTTTTTTCTTTTTTTTCTTTTTTCTTTTTTTAAACATAAATAAATACTAGCGCATGTATGCTTGCGCAAATCTTTTTGTAAAATTGCACATAAAATCGCAAAGAAGAGAAGGCTAAGGATGAATCGTTTTATTGCATAAAATCCAATACAAATAAGATTTAGATCAAATAACTGATTTTAAAATCTTGAATATGTTGATTGTAAATGATAAAAAAAAAACAAACACACGTATACATACATGTAACACAATTTTAGATCAAGTTTATATTGATTGAATTCACTACCAAATCGGTTTTCATCTCTTACCATAAAGATCTTTAACATTTCTTTCCTATTCTGGCATATCATGTAATAAACACAATATAAGGGATAAAAACTAACGTCAATTATCAATTGTGTATATGCGAGGTAAACCGTTACTCTCACATAAAAAAAAAACGGATGGTTTTTACTTCTACGAGAGAGACGACTAAATGTGTAGTTGTCCCTGCTCTTAAGTGATTTTTAAAAGAAAACTTTCTCACTCTCACCAAACTACGGGAATTAGGAGTAACGTTATCGTTTCCTCATTGCGCAAACATTTCTAATCCTGCTAAGAATTACGACAACCTTTCACTTCCACAGAAACGATAACATCCGTAATTGTTATCCTATCTTAAATGGTTGCATTGGTCTATTAAACTCTCCCTATGCTCAAGCTTTCAGTAACTGTATTAGACGTTCCCATGATATATGTGTATATAAAGCAGCTCTTTGAAGCTTTAAAGAAATCGACTGCTTTGCCAAATAAAAGTTCTTAGTGGGAAGTGAGGGTTTTCTTCTTAACTCAAAGAGTTTTGCTGCGGAAGACTGGCTTATGATATCGAAAGCCTAAATGACCACGGCAGAGGTTAGGCGAACTCTTAATGCTGAATATGACTCTCCTAACGAGTTGTAGTCATCTGAGCCTAAGGTGTTGTAGGTAGGTTCAATTAAAGTGAACTCTTCATTGCGCAGCTTTGCCAACAACGCCCAAGGCAATTGAGCTGAAAAAGTGGTGCATTATGCCAAGAACCGTGACATCGTCATTTTGCAGCATAAGGGCTTGCCATAGAATATTGCGAAACTCGCCTGGCAAACGTTAGCAATCCTGATTTGAAGTATGCCAGCGTCTTTCTATTAGTTAAACGTTACAATTTATGAGATATCTTTCTGATTAACATTGATTTCTTTCGTTGAGTTATCATCTGTTTTATCAAGTATGAAGAGTATACATTCAAGGAATGTTGTCAAAAATGGATGCCGTTGGGGATAGCCCAGAAAGATCAATTGTGTTTTCCGCACAAAATATTCTGCTCGAAAGATCGAAGCAGTAGTGGCTAACAACAAACTTTGAACAAACGGAAAATTTTGAGAAAGCTTTAGAAACCCCATAGAGTATGTAATCAGCATCAAATTCTGAATCAATTTAACTCGTTCTCTACCAGCATCCTCAACTTTGTCCACCACAGCCGAACATTCTCTTCGTGATTATATAACAACAATTGGAATAAATGTTAGGTATGTGTAATAAGAGCATTTGAAAAAAGTCAATCCTCGTTTAAATTGGCACAAATATCTGGCACTGGACGACAGATGGAAACTAAACGTTGCAGCCCATGTGTTTTATATAAATGTCTCCTTAAATAAGAAGGACTCATGGGATAAAACAAAGATTATATTAAATATGAAATTTATTTTATTTTATATGACAAATTTGATTTTGCAACACTCATAGGAGTGGAAAATAGATTTTTCTTTTCATACTAACAACACCGACAGCTACATATATATCGATTCGGATCTTCATATATTTTGTCGTCTTAGAACGTAATAATATTTTTTCAGTCTAAAACACAATGAAACACAACAAGTTATCCAAAAAAATATGTCACATATATGTGATATTGGGCTTGGCGGCGATAGCCTTAGCCATCTGCCTCTGCCTATCACTCCACTTATGCATGTCTGTTGTAAAAATTCTTCCATTTGAGAAAATAAAGCTATTGGTTACGAATTTGGCAGAAACTTTGGTATTGAAAATGGGACAAATCGGTTGCAGTTCATGGCCGCAGTCCGATCTAATCTGACACCATATCTGTTTTCAAAAAGCGGAAAATGTTTACTGATTCACTCGTCACTTATAATCCAAAACGAACGCAACAATATCATTTTGCACATGATCTTACAATACTTGTAGAAAAATTGATAAAATCGGCACGCGCCCACGGTCTTATAGAATATAAAAACTTAAATTTCCTTTTTTTGCTTCTTATATATATTATTATTATTATTATTATTATTATTATTATTATTATAAATTTAGCCAGAGAATAAATTCTAAGACTAAAGTCTTAAAGCACTAACATCTAAGGCTTTCGGCTTTATTAAAAACTCTACCGCACTTGAGATTTGAACCCATGACCATCAGGCGGATCTTCTTATATATAACTTTCTGACTTGTTTCTATATAGTTGCGTCAAATTTCATATTGATATTGCGATTGATTGGACCAGTAAGAGCCAAATGTGTTTTAAGAATTGTTTAAAAGCTCAGAATTATTAACCATAGTTGCAATTGCAAGCGATTGAGTATAACGATTTTATATAGACGGTTTGTTAACAGCTATGGGGGCGAAGAATGCTTTAAACGTCTTGGATATCCATTGTCGGAGACTGATTTATTTAACACGAAATTTTATTGCCAAACTCGAAACGGACAGAAGAAGAACGCACGCGACTGAATAGTTAGTAAGATATAGGAGACTTTTTGTGTAGGCTACTTGATCAAAAAGTAACAGGAGCATATTCGAACTTCAAATTTGCGCTCAAGAAGAAGTTGAAGAAATGCGTCTGCAGCAGCAGAAAGGGTAGAGAGCTTTCTTAAAAACGATTAGAAAATCTGGCAATTTCCGGATAAGTTTTCCATTCGTTTCAAGGCAATAGGAAAAATTGTTACAATTTCTTCAATTAATTCTCTAACGATGATTCTTATACTAAAGACCGCAATGTCTTTAATTTTTTGCGTACATCTCAGTAGGTTTGAAAGTGACAAAAGTTTTAATTTCATTTTCATCTTTGCAAAGTTTGTAGTTAATGTAAACTCGCGATTTCAATCCACTCTAATGGAAAATGGACTTTTTTAGCGTTGTCAACACTGTGCAGTGAAGTAAGCATTTGGTTCCCATTTTAGCAACACAGTGCGAACAACCCATTTGATGACAGTCTTCCTTTAATGGAATACGCTGAAGCAAGTGTTGCTACAGGACAGCATACACATATAAGTGCTCGCAGTTTGTAAATTCTCGTTACTTATTGATCATCTTGCAATTTCTGAAATGTATTTTTATATGTTACCAACGAATAGACAATGCCAGTGTACTTCTATTTTTCACTGAGTTTTATAACAACAAGAATTCTCTTTGAATTTCACTTAACTGTACGAAATTAGAAAACGGTGTAAAGCCAAAAAAAAAAAAAAAAATTCCGAGTGAGGTTTATATTTTTGTTGTCTGCACAGTTAAGCTTTTCATTTAAAAGACACGTCAAGATGCCATCAAAATTTTTTTTGTTATGACCAGCCCCGCGGATATTATTGACATTGTTTGTTATGCAGATTCGTTTTTTAATGCTTACTTTCATATATATATATATATATATTCACATTCACATTTTTCTATATATGCGTTTAAGCTTTTAAAAATTTCAACCATTAACTCAATTATCTTAAATGATATTTTGCTCTTTTCTAGAATGTGAAGGTGTAGTGACTAGACCTGTCAAATATGATGGCATACCTAAGTCAAATAAATGCCTTTCCTAAATAAGTACTTATGCTCATACACATACATATACGTATGCAGGTAGTTAGATAGAGACAGCGACACAGGCAGACGATGAATACATTGCTGTGTGATGATTGCCCGTATATAATACCGTTGTTGGTTGTGCGACAGTCAACAGTCACACTCGGCCCACAATTCCAACAAAAATTAACGTCAACAATGCTAGCAACAGTGCGGAGTAACTACAAAAAGAGCAATAACAACAACAACAACAAAAAACAACAACAAGAATTTAGTAAAAGCAATAGCTGCGTTGGCTCTTATCAAATGGCAGCAGCGCAGTTGACTTTTCTATACGAAGCTTCAGCGAGCTTTGTATTTGCTCTGACTTTTTGCTACGGTTTTTGTTTTCATTTGTAATTGTTGTTATTGTTTCTGCATACGTATATGCAAGTACATATAGGCATGTGTATGCTTTATTGTTTTTCTTATTGTCATCGTAAGAGGCGAAATGGGAACAGTCAACAAAAGTCAGCAACACCAAATGAACTAAAAAAAAAAAAAAAAAAAAAAAAATAAGAAAAAAAAAATGAAAAAACGATTGTATGTTGTCGAACTTGTTGTCATCGTATTTGTTGTACTCTACACTACTCTACTCTATACATATGCATATGTAAAATATGCACAGAAAGAAGTACGTACATATATATATATATATACCGTCTTGTATATATATAAATATATAAACATGTTTGTGTGTGTGTGTGTGTGTGTGTGTGTGTGTGCGGGCAAGTGTATATTACGAGACGTGTTCTTAAATGCGCACTAATATCATCTGAATCATGCGTGAATGTTTTATGTTTTTATTTATGGAACTGTTTAGTCAGCCAATCAGTCAGTCACACATGCGACCTGTGTATGTCTCTTTAAAAATAAAAAAAAAAATATTTTCATTTTTTTTATTTTTTTTTTATGTAACTTTATTTATTTTATATTATTTACCCAGCCATATGCACAAACACACGCACACGCATACATACACATTATTTGCTCTCAGTTGTTTGATTTATATTTATTTTATATTTTAATTCGAACTTTAGTTTTTCACTTCTCATTGTGTATGCGTAACGGTGGGTTTTGCCTCACTTGTGACAAAAGCCTACAATATAGTGCCCTGTTGCTATTAACTCGCTCTCTCTCTCTCTCTCTCTCCCTCTTTCTCTCTTTTTTATTTGGTGATGCATATTACCTTACTCTACGTTAACTCTCCTTAGACGATGTCGTAGATCAATCGTTGCTAAGTGAAAGAGAGCAGAATTTACAATTGCTCGTATGTGTTGACGTACTCAGGAGTCACTCGATGTATATGTCGGTTTTTAGAACACAGCGATAACTAAAGTTGTCGAAGGTTTTGAACTTTTCAACTTATCGCATTTGCGATGAAATAACAAAACAAAACTTATTGTACGGAATGTACTTGTGTATGTTATTTTTTTTTTCTTTTTTCCCTGACGCTATTAAAAAATGACTTTCGAGATTTTCTAATGTAGTTGTTGCAGTCAGCTTGTGCGTATATAATATAAGTTCGATATGTGATTATCAATAAAATCGATCGTATTTCATCTCTACTTCCGTAACGTATAATGTGCGTTTCAAAGAATTGCGGTAAACAGTATGGTGTAGATCTTTTATATCCAACAAGTAAAACCATTATTGTAGCCACAGCCTTCTATTAAATTGCCCTACACAACTTCGCTTAATACATTTATACATATGACGACTTGTCAAGAAAAGGCATTAGGCGTCATATGGAACGTGGTAGGGCCAGTGGTCCGATTTGAACCATTTTTAATAGCGCCCATCCTTGGCACAAAACACACTGGTGTAACGAATTTCAATAAAATATTTCAAAAATTACATGTCAGCTGAACACAAACTCGAGACGGACAGACAAACAGCAGCAAAAGCCGCTTAGATTCATTCAGAAATTGACTCTGAATTGATCTGTAAGATTAAAAATGGGTTTATGTGAAGTCCTTTTGGTTGTTGTATACATTCGCACAACCTTATATACTCTTGTATTACAAGTGGCGTAGGGTATAAAGGAGACGTATGCGAATATATTCATATAAACACTCGTACTACTAACGCCCACGTGCTAAGCATGACAATTACATTTAGTTTTCAACACTTTATGATTCGATATAGTGCAACTTCTTTGTCCGTACATCCTTGCATTTATCCTATATTTGAGTTAGTGGCTGTGGGCGGAGTTTGAAAATAAACGTAGTAGTTCGTCTGTTACGGATAGAATACGATAAACAAAAGCGATCATGATTAGGGTAAAACAGAGAGCAACTCTAACTTTCATCTTGTGCAGCGAATATTAAAAAACACAAATTAATGGATAGATGTACGGGAATTATCTGAAATTTGTTTTGCCACAAAAACAATTCTAAACATCCTACAGATGCAGATATGACTAAAGATGGATAAGGGATATCATGAATTCCCCCCAAAGCAAATTAAAATTTTTTTTACTTATTTTAAATGTTTAAATGAAATATTTTCCTACTGATTATCGGGCGCTGATAAGCTTCTATTACAAGTAATAAATACAGTCTGATAAGAAAATTAGAAATCTTAGGTGAAGTTTAGGTTAAAGTATCACACGAACAATTCGGTTTGAGCTGCTTTATAAAATAAATTTTTTTTTTTTCGAATTAAAAGGCGCAATACAATCATGAAGGTGCGATATGAAAAAGTTAATTTTTTCGGAATTGATTTGCGAAGGACGAAGCAATGTATTGCAACAAATGTTTTTACCAATTTTTTAATATTCGTTCATATATTTAAAAAAATTTGTTTAATAATGACTTAAACATAAAATGAACTCAACAGCAACTTTTGCTAAATAAACATTAATACAAAACATCTTCTTGGTCATATCTTAAATTTTAATCAATTGTCTTCAAATCACGTCTTTTGGCTTCTTAGTAACATTCTCTAGGGAAACGAGTTTGATTTTTTGAAAATATGCATTTAAGAAATGGCATCAATTTTAGCAAAAAAAAGTTCTTTTATGCATACAGATATTAAAAAATCTCCGCAATTATCACAATCTAATATTCTTAAGAGGAGTCAATCAAAAAAAACTTTACATGTTTCATAAGGGAAGTGTATTATTAAGACTATGTTCTAAAGCAATCATCGCAAGTTAATTAAGAGCGTTTGCATTAAATTGCAATTATCTATCACTATTTGGACCTATTATTAGGTTTTGGCTACATGGCAGGCTGGAGATATGGATCAGTTTGGATCTATTTCTTGTCTGATAAGAAACAATTAATTCAAGTATATACGCATTCGAACCTTACTTCGACATCGTCCTTTCCAAATCAACGCATTAATTAGAATTGCTAATTTTTTCATTAAATATGGGCAGTGTCAGTCAGCATGTCGTGCGAAAAGTATTGATTAATGAAAATATTTGCAACATCTATGCAATGCTTCCTTAGCAGCGAATAGCTATGAGTTTGTCTGCGGTTTCAAGAGTCCAGAACAAATAAACCGGCGGACAGACGAACACATCAACAGCATTAAAATGACTAAATGGAATATGAATATACTTTTTGACGCTTCCAATATGCATTTTTCAATACTAGAAGAGTCAATTACGTTTTTGGTATAAGTTGCCCCTCCATTCGTGGGCATAATATGTTGATTTCATGGTTTTTTAATAGATATGCAATTAAGAAATTTCGCTAAATTTTGATTTTATATAATATGTGTATCTTTGTCTTCTCCCTTCTCTTTATTCAACCCGTGGCAATGAAAAATGTTGTTCCCTATACAGAGTTTGCAATAGAAGCAGAAGTTTCTATAAGCTCGTAGGTATGAGTGTTTTGCTAAGCAGATGAGTCATCAACGCATTGTGTAATTCAAAAATGTGATATATATGGCGCTTAGTTACGCCATCATCTAGTCTCAAACGCACATAAGCTATTAATTTAAAAATTGTTTGCATAGCGTTGTGTTAAATTTGTCAAAATTTGTGCCAGATAAAGAACATTCACTGACAAAACTTTGTTTTGATCGAACGATGCAGAAAAAATTCATTTTTTGCTTAGTGTAATTAATGGGAATAAAAAAATAATGGGAATTGCGTATCTTCCACAACCGAACTGTAGATTGGCGTATCATCCACATTGACCGCACAATCGAATCACTTTGACGGCGAGATGATACTCTGTCGATGATGCAAAATGTTGGCTCCACTATGGTCTGTTAAAGCCCTGGTAAAACGGTTAATACGAAATAGTGCGAACAAGAATTGATCGATTTGAACCGTTAGCTCGTCAGAAAATAACGGAATTGCGCAAAAAGGCAAAACACAACAATTTTTTTACAGAACAATGGGCCACTTTGCGATACATTGAAAGCTGTTAGCATGGAAATACTCAGACCATGTAGGTTACTGATGAATCTTGCTTCGTTCTTATTATCACGTATTTGCTGTTTCCTTGGAAGATGTTCATAACAAAAAGAGAAAATTTTCACTGGCAATGACTCTATCTACATACACTTTCAAGAGATTGCAACGCATTATCCCCCACTAAATATTTTTAACGAACGGAAAGCATTGGCAAGTTTGATGCAACTGGTTGTTCATTAGTGGATATAAAATCTTTATTACCTAATCTTTTAATATGAATGCGAAAAAGAAATTTCGATAAAGTTTAATTTTGAGTTGATTTCTCTTCCTGTATACCTCTCTTTTTAACTATCATATCATGTATATATATAATTCATACAAATCGCTATAATTTGGAGAGAGTTTGACGAGATTTCTTTCTTACCAAATCAATGCGTAATCTACACACACATTCTTCACTAAATGTTAAAATAATAATAATAATAATAATAATGATAATAATTGCTTTACCCTCTTTTTACTGAGTGGTGGAGATAAGCAAACAATGACGACGAATTGAACTGAACTGAATTGAGTTGTAAACGCCTTCATTATGTACGAACAGACAATCAATTTGAGAAAAATGTCAAAAGATCACAAAGACAAGATGACATTTTGCTAAATTTTGCATATAAAAAATCACAATAAATGCCAACGTCAGGATCAACATCATTATTATCATCATCATTATCATCATCATCATCATAATCATCATCATGATGATCATCATCATCATCATCATGATCATGATCATTGCTGTCGTCGTTATGCAAATCAAATCGATCGATCGACGGTTATAAATTTTTGGCGAGACATAAATCGTTGCATGGGCTCTTTTCGCTTCTAAAAAATCAATTGTCAGATAATTGTCGAAGCATTCGTACTATATAGCAGTGCATGCGTATTTATGTTAGAACATAACAACAATGATGACAGAAACGTACCCAGAAATAATTGTACGCTTACATGTGTGTGTGTGGGGGCATGCAGTGAAATAAAGAAGAAAAAAAACAAACAAAAAATTGAAAATCGCTTCAACTAACGGTGACATTTTTATAGATATAAAACTAATAGAGACACAATACATACTTGAAGAGAAGTGCTAAACTTGAATTTCCTTACTTATATATATATATATGTATGTGTTGAAGAAATCTTAAACAATGATGCAACAGGTTGGCTTTGTATTTCAATGCAATTCAATGCTCGCTTGCGTAGAA